TCTTCCTCTTCCTCTTCCTCTTCCTCTTCCTCTTCCTCTCCCCCTCGCTCTCACTCTTGCTCTTGCTACTGTATATTACTACTGTTCTTTCTTCTTTTATTTTCTTATCTTCACTTCCCTTTAACACACTGTACTTTCTAATGTCAGTACTACTTGGGTTTGGGCGTCATTGTTAATTAATTTCACCTACATTTGCATTGAGTAAATGCATTTTTGTTGTCTTTTCAGGAATCAGATTTGCTATGTGCATTGTTTCTGGAACAGTCTGCACATTGTTTTCTTCACTGCAATCCCATCATGGTCAGGAAATATGCTTTCAATATGATCTTAGCAGGACACAGATTTAGCAAGTCTGCACAGGTTAGTATGAGCATGTGCATGTATTAATCAGAATATCTATCTGTCTGTAGGGGTTTCATTAAGTTTAGAGGTTATGAGGCTATGCCTAATCTTTTTTATTAGTGGAACAATGACCTATTTAGGCAAAACCTTGGAAAATCGTGAGACACATCCCAATACTTTAATTTGTTGTTTCTTAATTTGTTAGCCAATCAAAATTATGTGTCATTTTAAAATGCTCCACTAGTTCGCTTATTGAACTATATATAAGGAATATAAGACATAAACACATGTCTCTGTACTGTGATATAAACATGCCTGGAGCTGTAGAGCACCAGAGACGCATGCTTCAGAACACAAGGGGTAGCTACATGCTCTACAGCTCCCAGAGTGTTTACTGTATATCACAGTGCAGAGACATAAGCAGCCATTTTATATTGCTTTTATGAGATATTTTTGAAGGATTTTGCATGAGCGTGTCTCTGTCCTCTGATATACAGTAGACACAGTAGCAAGCCAATCAGCGCACATTGTATCTCAAATATTTTATATTTCCGTGTATTACAGCGTAAACATGCCCTCCGATGCTATCGTCAAGCCCTTCATGTATATGAAGACAAATCATGGCATCTTGCTGAAGATCATATCAACTTTACTCTTGGACGGCAGTCCTTTAACTTGCGTCAGCTGGATGATGCTCTGAAGTCATTCAGACAGTTATTGGTGTATGAGAGCCAACAGTCCCCACAGCAGCAAGCTGCTTATCTTAGGGAATTTTTATTTGTATTTAAGGTAAACTATTCACTGTTCGTTGATCAATAACTTACCAGACCTCTTTAAAATTGGGAAAAAATGTGTGTAATAGAAGAAAGTGGGGGGGGGGGGGGGGGGNGGGGGGGGGGGGGGGGGGAGGGAGAATTTCATGAGGTTAGTTTTTATGGACCTCAAAATTACTGCCTATCAGAAATGCATAATTTAAGTGGGAAAAGGAACATGGTTAGCATAAGGTGGTATCCTGTTGGCATTATTCATCATCATCATCATCATTTTTAATTATTATTCCAAACAAGAGATTACATATTGAGAAAATTTTGTATAAAGAGGAATATGAAGGATAATTACAATACATTTATATGAATTTTGAAAAATATCTTTCTCAAGGATGGTAGGTAGCTCAAAAGAGAAACCAAAGGCTTATATTTTTGGGCTCCCTACGTATAGCTAAAGTAAAATTAACGTAAATTAAGGTAATTACAATGGACAAAGAAGCAAAAAGGCAAATATACTTAGACAGATTTTGATATGAATTAACAATAATCATATAAATTAAAATGCAAAAATGTATAGATTGAGTAGCTCTTTATAGAGAGCATATAATATTCAGCTAGTCATAAGATGGCATGGTGTTTGCATGCTGTTGGTATATGTTATAAGTTGTTGGTTGACATTAGAGTGATTTTCATAAACTGTGAAATACATTTTAATGTATTTAGTACCATTACGCTCTAACTCCTTTGYTTTCTATTGTTTGAATCTGGCTATTACCATCTAATAAGTAATTTTTGTTTCATGGGTTAATGAAAACCACTCTATTTATCTTATTTATTTCCAGCAACTCTTAGAAGCTAAAGACAAAACTAAGGATAAAACAAGAACCCTGCCATACCTTCCTCTTCCAGTAGTAGATTCCAATGCGACAAGAGCAATCCTGTCATACAATCCAAATTCCCAAGAGAACACCTGTACCAACTCTAATCCATCCACTCCAAAAGATCAGGATTCCTTTGGTCTGTCACTGTTTGGGGAGAATGAGCACAAGAATAACCCAGACAATGTGATTCTGATAGGCCAGGCATCATTTGAGGAGAAATATGACATGGAATTAGAGAAACGATGGGAGGACATGGAGGAGGAGTTATATGAAAGTGTAAATATCACCCCAGTACCACCTTTCTTTAGGACCCATGTGCATTGCTTGAGTTCCAAGACTAACAACAAGATGAAGCCACTATGTGTTATTAATGGTAAGTAATAGATAACAGTTAATGATAGACATTGTACAGTCTATATCCTAAAAATAGTGCTTGAGAATTAGCCTGTCTTTCAAAAAGTAAATCTTGAAATTAATAAAAATAAATTAGATAAATACTTAGGATAGTCCTTTTATTTCGTTTCAACAGAAACAGTTGCAATTGAAGTAGTATTYTACAATCCTTTAAAAATACCTCTCAATTTAACCAATCTAATGCTGTTATGGGAATTCACCCCTCAAGACAAAGATTCTTCAGTTGTAAATGAGGTATGTCAGTGATAAGTAAAAGTAGACCCTTTTACGTAGGGCATTAACATACATACATACATCCATAACTTTTTTGAAGTGGTACTTGTACACATATATAATTTATTTCCGGTCCAACTTCTCACAAAAACTGCTAAGATATAGAAAGAAATGTTCTCAATGATTCATTTAATCTCCACCCTAACCACTTTCAACTTGGACAACAAATCCTGTCAAGAATAGAAGGGGGAAAAAATCTTCATAAAACTACATTTCGTTTTGGACCTGGAAGTTGTTTTTCCTTATGACTGAAGTCACACTTGACAGCTTTATAGATTTCACTATACATGTAAGACTTATGAAGTCAGTTACATTCATTTGGCTCACAAGTCGTTTTGTCTGTAGTCAATTCACCAGATGTCAAGTCATTTTGCCCATACTTTTTTCTGTCTACTACTAAGTATGTCATAATCTAACACTATAAGTTTACATGTAACTATTTCCACAGAAGCACAAAATATTCTTTTAACTTCGTTCATTTCTTTAATTTACTGGGGGGGAAACGACACCTTGTATGAAATTAGTGTAAACTTGCCTAAAGTTAAAGGATCCATTCAAGCTGTAAATTTATGTCACAATATTTTCACTCATTCTTGTTATCATTAGTTTGAAAGTCATGAAAACCTGGTCGAGACTGAGATTATTTCTAAATTTGCAATTCAAGGTGGTGAGAAGGAAGCGGTAAGTTCATTTTGACACACACTGGCCCTTACTACAGGTCTTCATTGAAAATATGCCCAATCAGAATGTGTGGAATGTTCCACTGTCCCTTCTGTGCCCTGACTTTGAACATCCCAGAGATCAATCCTTTCATGGTTTGATCTGTGAGGCACAATTATACGGAGCAATTTGCTCTACAACTTGTATGGATACAAGTTGCATGGAGTATTGCAGCTTGTATCCTACAGCGCAATGAAAAAAATGTTGCGAGACAAGTTGCAGCAATCTTTGCCAAAGCAGAATTTGTTTCTACTTTTGACAACAATTGCATCTCTATTGCCTGTGTAAACACTCTTGCAACTTGTGTCGCAATGCTGAGACAAGTTGCAGATAAAATTGCTCTGTGTAATCGTGCCATTTAATAGCCGTGCCCTGACTTTCATCAGTCTAGAGGTTGTTTCATGGTAGCGATAAAATTAGGTTATTTATTATTATTACAATAAACAGCTTAACATTATTGTTAATTAGACTTATAATAATGTTTATCTGTCAGGCTCGTCTAACACTAACCCCCTGCTGTACTGGTACACTTCACATCAAGGGTGTCAAGTACAGTCTAAGTAGTATAGCTATTGGGGGTCCTGTGGAGGACTCCTTCAATACAACCGAGGCCCACCCGGCTGTTTCTGCCGTTAGTATGCTTGGTAGACTAGACTTGAATGTTCTTGGTCCGAGACTGAATCACACTAAGGCAGAAAAGACAAGCATCATTCATGGGCAGGATCATAGGTTGAATATGGTGGTCGTCCCAGCCATGCCTTTACTAGAGGTGTGTATGATCAATCAGTCAATTGGCAGGTTTGTTAGTCAGTAAATTAGTCATTGTCTCATTGGCATTCTAATTCTCTTTAAAGGTGTTTCCTGTTGAGTTTGACTAAGCCATGAAATTTAAACTCCCTTGCCAAGGGTCTGTTCACGCGCTTGAATCATACAACTAAGTTTACTACTTTTCTAATTTCTTTAATGGTCTCCTGATCTTCCCAGGTTCGTTTCCGTAATTTCCCAACTAATCTTCTATGTGGTGAAGTGGTTCGCACAACAGCTGAATTCACTAACACTGGTCAATGCTCTCTAACCAAACTATTTATGGCCTCAACTACACCCGAGTTCTTTACAATCGGCATACCAAATAGTGAAAAGGATTCCAGGGGAATATACCAAATGTTCTCCTCTGAGCATAGTACTCTAGACAATCCACTATCAGAGGTCAGAAGAATATCTGAGGTACCCATACCCGGTGGGTGTCTGGCCCCTGGGGTATCTGCAAAGCTTCCTGTGTGGGTACAAGGAGGCGAAGAGGGTGGTAGTCACTCAAGAGAGCTGAAGTTTTATTATGAGTCTACAGAAAAGAATCCTAAAATGAGGTAAGGTTGTCATACTGCTGCTGTTATACAATCTTGCTTTATGATTCATTGAGTAGCATATTTTATGGAAGCAAGCAGCCAATGTATGCACTTTGTATTTCCTTGCTCATATCCAAAATAATGCCTATTCTAATCTGTATTTTATAAGAACTAAAAAAGCTAGCTTGCACTTGGGGATTGTCAGGACACTGGAAAAGCATTGCTTCTCCTTACAAAATTTCATTATACATTGTATAATAAAACCAATTCAACGCACCAAGAATTGAGCAAGTGTGGCTTAGTCTATAATTATGCTATGGGCAAAGCAAGAGGTCCATAGTCAAGAGGTCTTTATCCATAAAAAAACCTTAAAACAGAGTACTGATAGATCGAGGGGTAAATGGCTCACTGATCTAGAATAGCATCTACTAGCTGAAGAAACAGCCTAAATCCTTCACCTAGGGCTGCACATGTAAATCATATTATAGCTTGTAGAGCTTTTATTTTAGAAAGCATTGACTTATACTGTCTTAACTGGTTGCTTGGTTTTGCTTTCCTCTCTAGCCATCGAGCTCTTCAACATGCCTTCTCCGTAGACTTCAGTAGTTCTCTAGTTGTGCGGGCCACAGCTAGACGGAGTAAATATTGTAGGAACTTACAAGAAAAGTAAGTGGAGATCGCCTCCTTTATTTCTTTTGCTCCTTCCTTTGGGTTTATCTTTTCGTATTACTAATAATTGTCATAAAGGGGGGGGGGGGCGATAGGGAACAGTAATTATTGCAGGGGGAAGTGGAGGGGGGCTAGGAACATTAGCACAAAGCAAGGTGTAGCATGTTTAAATAATTTCTTTTGTCCTTGACTTGTGTGGCACACTTTGTTGAGCCTCTACCTACAATTGTTCTCAGTAGCACGTACAGAATCGTACAGTTTTTAAGGTCACGTGTCTATGGAATGTCATAGAAATGCCTTGTTGACTTCATCAAAACCTACTTAACGCTTCTGCGCCTGGTATTGAGAAAGACTTTGCTACTTTTTATAGTTGGTCCCTTACATTATAGTTAATATTAACTATGCTTACATTCATGAATCAATGAAAGTAGTTTCCTTAAAAGAATGTGCTCAAAAACAACCAAAATATGCCAGAGAAATGAAGGCAGGCAGACAGGTGTACCTGTACCAATCCTACAGTAGGTAGCTGTTATGCCAGGCCCTTGGTACACTTGTAGCACACTTTTCTGATGATGTCAAGTCTTGATTTGTGTCAATAGGTCGGACACCAAAGAACAGCTTATTGTTGCGTTAGATATCGAGAATCTCATGCAGGTAAGACTCATTTTACAATGTATAATATTATTTGATGTGAATGCATTGAGAACTCATTGTTTTTGTATCTCCTTAGGGCGCAACAGCAAATAAATTCGGGGAATTTTCTGTAATTCAAGTCTCGTGTGTCAGTAAACGATGGAGACTACAACCACTAAGTCATCACAAAACAGGTAGAGTACAAACTACTATATGTACAAGGGCGGATCTAGGAATTTGTAAGGGCGGGTTGAAAAAATGTATATAGAGATATTATGCACCCTAAATGTTTCTTTGCCTTCAAAAAAAGTTAAGAGTAATCGCCCTATTTCACTATGACGTCACATCAAAGCAACCTATTGTTTAAACGCAAAGGATCATGGTCTTCGGACGGGGTCAAATCAACGTAAATTCACCGAAAATTGTTCTAAAACCCGTATCAATCCATGAAGAGAAGTAGAATAGCCAGTAAATGCTCAGAATATTTTTAGTACATATTAACACATATTATATCTGAAAACCATGCCATTTTAGATTAAACTGTTTCGATAGGAGCAAATTTTGTTGAATTTTCTATTGGATTTGGCGATTCTATCCCCCACATAAACAAGCAGTGACGTCATAGTGAAATAGGGCAATTACGACCTTAGGGGGTGTCCGGCGCATCACAGGACACACCCTGGATCCGTCCCTGCTTTACTATGCCTCGGTCAGTTGGTTAGTGTAAGAGTCAGTTGGTTGATTGAAGGTTGGTTGTTTTTGTGTTGATCTTAAATTCGCTTATGCCTTTAACTTTTTCTTATCGTATCTGTTCTCTTCAGATGGCTTGCTATGTGTCAGACCAGGAGAAACAATCGTAACTCAGTTCAAAGCTACTAAATATACAGGTAAAACAAGTATGTGGACTTTGATAGTAGTGTACAGTGATCCCTCTATTAAGCAGACCCCTTTAACTGGACACCCTTAAACCTTAAACAGACAGCTAGTTGCACAGCCTCTCAATTTTCTTTCCAAATTTACTGTACGACAAATACTCTATTATGCGAAAACTCTTAACTAAAAGGAAAGCTAGTTGCATGATGTTGCAATAGCCACGATTTTTTTCCACAAAAAATAGTCATTGTCCGACTTAATCGATATTTTTTTCTTTCATTAGATAAAGAAGGCAATTCACTTGGGTTCAGTCATGTAGCTTTCTCAGACGAAATGGTAAGTAGGTCTCATTCTTATAAAGCACAATATTGATCATTGTGTTTTGATAAAACGTTGGCTTGGCATCATCTTAGCATCATGGTAGTTTTGATAATGATGTTGGTGGTGGGTAGTGTCACAGTGTCACAGGTAGTAATTTTGGTGTCAGTCGTTGTGGTGGTGTTTGTTGTGAATATTGCTGTATTGTGGGTGGTGGTGGTGGTAGTGTTGGACTTGTAGTCGTTGATCAGAGGCTGCGAGACCGGGGCCCTCCCCCCACGAATTTTTTTTGGGGGCCTGGCCTCCCCACAAAATATTGGTTCTCAGTCATAGTTTTACGGCGCATGTGTCTGCAATCAAACAAAACAGCGGTCATTATCACATAGCCTTAAATATAATATTTCAGTGCCCCCCCCAAAGATTTTCAGCTTCCGCCACCCCTGTTGATGTCACATGTCACAGGTGTCAGTGGTAGTGTCAATTGTTTGTGATGACATTGCTGTGTCGTGGGTGATGTCAGTTATGATGGCGTCAGTCGTGGTAGTGTGAGAATCCTATGTTCTCATGTCATTCCTTTTCTTTTTTTCAGATAAACACTTCAGTTACCCCCGCCGTAGACTTCTTCTTTAGATCTCATACATGGAGAGAAATGTACGAATCCAATTCTAGTAATAACAGTCGTACAGTGGATACAACCAAAGTAGACCTTGGTTTAATTGTCTTCTGGAAGGTAAGTCTGTGTTTTCCAGCCAACATCTTTGAATCTGGAATTCACTTGCACCGCAAGAACAATGAACGCAAATTGCAAAATGCTCTCTTGAGTTTTGGGCTTCTGTAGAACAAACTTGTGACTGTATGTGTTGAGGGAACATGAGTAGGAATGATGCACCAGACATTGTCATATCAGTAGCTGTATTTTATCACTCATCGTCTGCCAATCTCTGTGCTTTTTGATTACACACAGGCCGCATGCACATTTTCTATTTCTTCATTAGTTTTATAATAGTCGCCAAGAAGAAGCAGGAACTTAATGGTTAAGAGCAGTAACTGGCCAAATGTTGATTATTTTCCTTATTTTTATTATCAGTTTTAACGTGGAACATCTTGATATTTTCCAGGCATCTTTTATAGATGAGAAATTTATCAAAAAGACTGTAATGGGTCAAAGCCATGTTGCTATCAGCAGACTAGCAGAATCTGTGTCTGCGTCACAGCCTGTGGTAAGTAAAAATGGCTAAAAGGTTTTAACTTAATCAAGTTATATCAAGCGCTTGAATCATGGTGTAGAAATAGTTTGGTACTTGCAGTTTTGTTACTTGCCTTGTTCTACAGCAGGCAAAACAATACATGATTTATTGCCTTTTGTAAGCCAAATTATTGATGTTTTAATTGAAAGCATTCGTTACAAATGAGGAAAGCAGGGTTGAGCTGGTTGAAAATAAGTATTTAGAACAAAAAACCGTCATTAGCGACCCCTGAAACAACCTCACTGCTGTTTCAGATCAGGGTACAGCTAACTTAAAGAATTTATTGGGGTGTGGTATTTTTAGTAAATTTATCATATATATGATTAACTTCCAATGTAATGAAAATGAAATCTAACCGTTGGATTAAAAAAAAAATTTGGAATTAAGATTGTCATGGTTTTAATTTTTGCTCTCATTAGCTTCAAACAGTTGGGGCACCAGCTGCGTTACCCAGCAGTAATACAAAACACGACAAGGAACTGCTTATTCAATATCTATTGAACCATGAATCAACTATAAGACAAGACTTCAAGCTCAATAGGTATGTAATATGGCAGAATTTCTATGACTGAAAATCTGACGGAACAGACGTGCAATGCGGTGCCGTGCCATGAATGCCAAAGTACTGCGTTCGACCATTCCGATTGGACAAGTGCTATTTTTGTGTGCAGTGATTGGTTCAACTGAGTTACAAATTTTGTGCTGTGACATTGACCGTTGCCTAATAGGGCTTTACAGGCTTGTGAAATCTGCTCTAACAGAATATCAATATCGTGTGAAATGCTGATTGACATTTGAACAATTATTATCGTACCAGGTATTGGAAACCCTCACTCTGTGTCATGAAACACGAACACGTGGGGAACAATGCTTACTTGTCCACGTGATCACGATCATAATCAATCTAAAATCTAATGGTGTTCACACCCGTTTTTTTATTTTCCAGACTAATAATTGTACCAATAGAGCTTACTTTAAAGAATTGTTGTCAAGAGGTAGTCAATGTGTTTGTTGAGAGATCAGCAAGGTGAGATTACAATTCAATTCATTTTTTTCATTTCAAGTTTTGAACATTTTTTTAACTTCTTTTCCAATGTCTGAATCCTTAGTGAAACACCAAGTTCTGTTGTTACCCAAAGCACAGGAGAACCAGTTTCACCTATGCTAGAAGTCGACTCTGGATACCGACCATCAACGACGTCCTTCGTTTTGATCGGGCAGACATCACGAAGACTACGGCTTGAGCCAAACAGCACCTCGATATTAAAATTCAATGCTATGATCTCTTTACCTGGAGTTTATAACTTAAATCAGCTTCGTGTGTATGCAGCAGTACAAGAAAACAATCATCAGGATGAAGACTTTGATTTAAGTAAGATGGTCTTACAAAAGCCTTCACCACCCAGCTTTCTTGAGGTGGAGGACATCAGTCCTGTGTTTGTAGGTCCTTCAGATCAACAAAACTCTTCGCCTTACTTGGATAATTCATAGGAAGGATGGCTAATTCTGAGAAAAATTCCTTTTTTCTCCCTGGAGTGGTCAAGATACAGAAACAAGCCGTGAGAAACACACTGGAATTAACATAATTTCATACAGTCATCTTTTTTTTCTTTCTTCATAATATTTTTTCACATTGTTTTATACCTCTTGTAATCATCAAAACTAACAACTTGCATTTTTCCTTCACACACAAAAGCATACCACACAAATCCAGATTCCTGTTATTTCCCATCCAATTACTCACATTTCCCTTTTTTCTGGCAGCCCAGTTTCTTATCGGCCTCTAAAAATCAATATTTAGATTCTATTTCACAAAATATGACCGTGAAGAATATAGTATGTATAATGTGGTAGCACACTCCCTAGGGATTTGATTACAGGGATACACTAAAGGCTATGATCATATTTTGAACAAAACAGATCATAAGAAAAAGATTAGAAATTTTTAAAGAATTTAGAAACACAAAACTATTCGACTGTCTTAAGATTTTAAGATTTAGTCAAACGATACAAATAAGAATTACATAACGCGAATGAGATTCACGTGATAAGCAGGTTGAAGTATGCATTTGGCGAGCTCAAACATGATTCTAATTGAATTGAAGGGAATCCAATATTAACCCTGGACGTGATAGTTTTGGACATGAAATATAGATTTAAAGGGATTGGAATTTTCTTTCGATGGAGAAAGGGGGTTCAGTTGGTCTTAAACAGAGGAGGGGTAGATGGGAATTGAATGGAAGCAAAGGAGATAAAAAGAGGTTGTCCCTCTATTTTCCTTTTCCCTATCAGGGGTGATGGGCCTTGCCTACATAAAGGTTAATATTCAGTGCCTGTAATCTAACTTATGTCATGGTAATTTATTGGCAATACCTTGCACCCCCACCCCTCCCAGCTCTACACCCCTACCTCCCCCCCCCCAACCCCACCCCAACACACAGGGAGTGGTGTGAACTAGTATCATACAGACTAGACTAATATTTTCCAATAGGAAGAATAACAGAAGCTATGAGAAACTATTTTATGACTGAATCACATTCAGATAAAAATTCATAATATTGAATCCTTAATAGGTCAAACATTTTCCAATTGTTTCAAAGTTTTCAACAATTTTAAAATAGAATACCTAATACAAATAATAGTGTTTGAAGCATTGTCTATCCTTGTCTCGTCATTACACTTTCACATCCAATCAGATTCGTTCTATTTTTAGACCACTGATAAATAATTAACCGATACATTTATATCAGAGACAGAGAATGAGAGAAGTGATACAGACTGAATAAACCAGCCATGCTGACAATAATGGGTAATTGTCAATAGGCTATTTGTTAGGGTGTAATGGTTTCCCATTTCAGACCACGTGTCATTCTCTTGAGAATATGACTGAGTCGTATCCTTGTGTCTTCTCATGCACAACCGTTAAACAAAAAAATAATATTTTAGAGAATGGCGTGGTTTTAAAAGGTCTATTGCCAATTATCATGTTTTGAAAAAGTTTCTCTTTAAATATGTGGCAAGAATTGAGGTGCTTTTTAAGGGGAATTTTCTTACACTAAGTCACCTATCTTTGTGTTGACTAGAGTTAACAGTACCCATTCAAAAGTCAATTATGGCAGAAAAAACGCTTCTATTTTCTGGGGAAGCAGAAGATAATTCGGAAAATGAGAAGGCAATTTTTTGTTACTCTGGAAGCCCAACGATAGAGCCTTTATTTATATCAAACATTAAACTAAATCTATTTACAAATTGATTCTAACTATAATACAATTTTTTGGGTTCTATCTTCAGATTTAAGCTCTTGGTTACTAGGGCAACCAATATTGTGGTTACTAGGCAACCAATATTGTGCGCATGACCAATTATATAATATTTGGCAAACTACGTTTTTATTGGTCGAACTTGATTTAGTGGGCGCACTTTGCGCATTGCATTTCGGAAAACTATTTTTATTAATTATTATGAAGTTCTATATGTAATTCCCATCTTTTTTTTATGTTCCAGTAGATTGATTGACTGGACAGTTGAGTATTTTTGACGGCCATCAGGCAAATAATGAATAAATTAGACCTGATCTGTATTTGAAGCACTTGGCTAAAGAGAGTAGTGGTTTATAATTTTGCATGCGCGCATGAAGCTAGCCTGACCTCGGACGATTCCTATCCCCTCCCCCCTCCTTTGAGAAAAGAACAATTTTCCAAAGGGGGATGGGGAGGAAATGTGTGTACGCAGGTGGACAAGTAGAATAATTATGTGAACTCGTTGAACTTCTCTTATCTAAAAACTAGTGATGATAGTAGGGGTAGAACCATTGTCCAATCAAGTGTTTCTCTTCTAGCACTCGATTTACTGTCGTCATCTTCGATCTTTTTATAAATAATCAAGATCCTCTTTTTCTTTTTGGTGGTTGGGTGTGTTTCAGTTGGTTGTTTTGTTGAGTGGGTAGTAGGTTTAGTACGTCTGGCTGGTTCGTGTAGTATGTCTGGTACATGCTCGGTAGTGCGCGATCTTCTTGGTCTTCTTGTTGTAGCAGGGCGTACTTGAGCACTGATGTTTCCTACTGTACATCCTGGAAAATCGATAAATTTTGTTTGTATGCAGAATCGGACACACGTCGCATCAGTCGCGCGCAATTGCGCAATGTGATTCTCTGCAAATTAAACTCGACTTGATAATGAATCTTTGAACACGGCGCGCGCAACAAATTTCATAGTCTGAACGGAACATTGCGCAATGTGATTCTGGGCAAATGTAACGCGACTTGATAATGAATCTTTGGACACGGCGCAGTTGTCGCGCGTTATAGCCACAAATCTTACGAAGTGAACGCAACCTGCATCGCGCAATGCCGTGATGCTCTCATCAAATGATGAGAAGCGACTTTACGAGGAAGCGCTGGCCAGAATTGTACGAGGTTAGATAAGCTTCCCGCTTAATGTATAGTTGTTGTATGAAAAGGTTGCATACTAAGTGTGACGTCTCGAAATCTCTTGCCAGTAATTTTGTGCGCAAGAGTTGCAACATGTTTGTTCGACCATACAAACTGAAAAGGCGGCGCTCTGGGTTTTTTAACTTTCTTTTTAACGATATATGTTTAGATCCGCAACAGGGATACCATATTGTTTTTTTTAATTAAGTGTAAGACAGCTAAAGAGTGTGTCAATACGTATTGTACCTTGTGAAGCATTGCATCCGTACAACTCCATCCTAAGACAGATTTCTCCAAACTTGTTCCACGTGACAGGGTTTAATCGAACTAGTCTTGTTATCAGCGGCGTTGCTAGGTAATGCTTCACTATTTGATTGCTGTCCCTGTTGCCTACAAAAGTCTAACATGAAATTTGAAAGTAAGAATTTTTCATCGATTTTATTTCACGAAGATTATTCACCGAAGTGCATTTATTCGATCAGCTATGCTCGAAACAAGCTTTAGCGCAAAAAGGTGAGTAAGTGCACTATAACTTATAGAGACAATACGACATTTTAAAGTCTTGTAAACAAATTATTCGGACATGTTTCGATAATCAAAAATCAAAAATCAACTCCTAAATTCTAATTCGATCTTTGGGCTTTCACCTAGTTTGGAGCCTAGCTCTGTTGTGATTGTCCCACGCTGCGATACGACAGCGAAAAGCTTTGTAGATTTTTTTTTTTTAGATAGTATCTATCTACTCTTTTCCCAACAAGTAGAACAAACTAACAAAGCAAAGCTATTTATATAGGGATACTCGCGAATAAAGAAATAAGGAAAATCGTGACTATTGAACTAATGAGATATTGCTAAGCACTGGTTTAGAACTTTGACAAAGACATTTATTTGAGCTTTATTGGTGTAATGCTCCATGCAGATAGGAAATCTTGTTATGAAAGGAAAAACATTCTGTATTCCATTGCGTGGGAAAACTAAACATTGTTTGGGTAGATACTCGAGCATAGCCGGGATCGGTCTATATACAGTCCTTTGACTAAACGTTGTCGTTTGCCGTCGGCTTCATCCCTACGCGCATAGACCGAAAAGGATCATGGGGATAATTAATTCACAGTTACTAGCTGCCGCATATGTTATCTAACACGTCTTGAGCTCGCTTTTTTCGATCCCATTTAATTTGCTAAAACCATGCCTCGAGCATACGGCGAAGATTTAAACCGGCGAGCAAATTGGATGACGCAAGTTCTGGGTAATTGACCCGTTATCCTTTTCGGTCTAGGCGCGTGGGGATGATCCAATCAACGACAACGTTTGGTCAAAGGACTGTATTCTGCGATGCGTAAGTTGTTGCAGAAACAGTTGCCTGTCCTTGAAAATTCTTTTACTAACACCAACTGTACGTACCTTACGTTTACCATTTTCCCCATAAACGAACCATGTAGTACCATTACAGCTGTAGCTAAGAGTATAGCTGGTGACCCAGTTGCCATCTGGAAAGGCCATTCCTTGTGTTGCTATGGCTACAATGGTTTGATGTGTCTTGAAGTCAACTTGAAGGTATTGACTAGAATCTGTCGCCGATGCGCACCAAGAACCAAATGAGCTCATTTTTAACCTAGAGAAATATTGAATGGAATATGTTATTTTATTAATAATAAAAAGGTAAATTTTACACCGCGAAAAGATGAAAATAAATTACTGACGTTTCGGACGTAAGTCCTTCGTCGCAGTAAAAGAGATATTGATATTAAGAAATTATGTCATTAGGTGTAGAGGTAATAGATGTTCTGGACTGACTAGCCTCTCATACATGGGAAAACGCTTTTATGTTTTCACCTGAACACGATGCTAGTCAGTCCGGAACAATAGTTATTCAAATTGCTGGCCATATTTCGATTCGGTGTATATTGACATCTAATGCACATTAAGTTTCATAGAACAGTTTTAATATATCATTATCCTACCTATTGTTTAATCTTGCTGCTGAGGGCGAGGTCCATATACTCTTGGCAGACGAGGCAGTAATTTGATGGTTTTTGATTTGATAATTTTCCATGCCAAGCGCACTAGTACACGCTAAACAACAAACAAAACATGCATACATAAACATTATTGACTTGGCTACACCCCTTAGCATGATATCATGACAAGAATAGGCATCACATGCAGACCTTTTCTTACTTCGATAAACAGAATACATTGTGTTCTAGCTTCACGACAAACAACACCACATAAAACATGATGAACTGAATTTTTTCTACCAAAGCTAGACCACAATGCATTCTGTTTATTAAACTAGGAAACGTTTTATAGAATTTACACCATCAAGTGATGGCAGCCATGACAGGAGGTACAACAACAGAGTCTGATTCCTCTTGAAAACTGAATTATTTCTCATATAAATTAGATTAGACTGGATTCAATTGTTGTGCCTCCTGTCATGGCTGCCACCACGTGATGGTGCAAAGCCTCAAAATTGATGGCTGATTATCAAGATTTAGTAAGCAAAGCTGGGTAATAAATGGATGACAATATAGGCCACGCACAAAGAGGGTATTGAAAAAATATATATAAAGAAGGGTAACTGTGTTGCCATGGTGACTAGTGACTTGTTACCTTGGAAACCAAAGAAAAATGATCGATTGCTACGCCTTTTTGCTGCTATAGTAATCAGGCTGAGAAAAATCGGCGAACTTACGTGGCTCAGTTTTTACTGTCGTTCCTGCTGTTGTTCTTGTGGTGGACCTTATGGTAGGTGTGCTGACCGTGGTCGATGGTTTACTGGTCCTTTCTGTAGGTGGTCGTCTCACTGTGGTGGTGGTCGTAGCATTGGGTGTAGGTGTGGTGGGTGTGCTGCAGACTGATTGGAAGAATAGATAATTAAACAACGTAAGTGCAAAGGACTTCAAAACTGTAATGAAGGCAAACACTAGAAGTGACTGTACTTGTTCGAATTCATTTAAACTAGACTTCTTTTCTTTAATTATTAGAACAACAAAATATGGCATGCTTTATCAAATCTAAATGTTTTATCCGAAATTCTTACATTCAATTTAGTGTCAAAACGCGAAAGCCCCAAAGATACTAACACTGACTGTCACTAACACTTCGGTTACTCAGAAAGTTTCCCTTCGTTATACAACGATATGCTCACCCTAACATACGTGTATTTAGCTAACTAAGAAGTATGTTTATCGATTGGTTGATAATCTCGAGAAAACGTGTAACTAGTGAGTTTGCATTAGATGAAGTCAGGGTGATCAGGCTTTTTGTTCTACATTTGATAGTACATGATCATGTAGCGCATAGTAATAGTCTCACCTTGATCAGACTTGCATCCATGTACTTCCACTCTCATACAAATAGAACCCCATCGATACCACGCGACGGGGTGAATTCGAATCATGCGCGCAATGATGGGTTTTGGAAGGTAGTTGAGCACAACTGAATCTGTATCGGTATTAGCTGTAAATGTCTAGAGACATGAATTAGAAAAGAACGCTTTTAATAACAATGGCAGTAAATGCTTGTTAGGATAAGAACACTCATTGCCACCATTCTTGAACGGTAATATACGCATCATCGGTAGTTTTAAACAATAAGCTATTACAAAACTTTGTTGAGCTGTAAGTCAGTTTTTGCGCGTTGTTACCACTGCGCGCGCAACAGACAGATTTTCTTTAACAGAAAAACGTAGAGAGAGTACGTTTTTACTTTATGAAATAAAGAAAATGTAACGCGCAAATTTGTTCAATTTCTTACAATGTTTTTTATGGATATATGGTACGCATTCTAGATACCTAAATACCATACCACTGCGCGCGCAACAGATTTTCTTCCACAGAAAAAGAGAGAGAGAGAGTACGTTTTTATTTTATGAAATAAAGACACTGTAACGCGCAAATATATGCAATTTCTTACAATGTTTTTTTACGGATATATTGTATACATTCTAAATACCTTAATAGTACTGCCATTCCAATATTTCTGCCACGTCCTTCCATCACAGCTATAGCTTACAGTATACAATGATACCCAATGATCACCTGTAAACTCCACGCCTTGGCTAGAAAAGGCTGTAATATTCTTCACATCAAGAAAATCGACTTGTAGATGAGGGTTGTTGTCATTGTATGATGCACACCACGCTCCTAGTATGTGCCTGTGCAAATATAAGTATAGTATGATGAGATATAGGGGATATACACCTATTTCAAAAAACTTTGTCATCGTCAAAGGCGATAGGCGATAGGCCATTCCGAAATGGAAATGGATTCGTTGAATACAAAGGCATCGAATCAGTCTCAACACTAAGGTCTATGTTCTTAACGAGAATAAGAAACAGAAACACAAGTCATTCCAGCTATTCTTGGATCTTGGAATGACCTATCAACTATCGCTTTGCGCCTATCGCCTATTGCCTATTGACAACGTTTATTGAAATAGGTGTATAACACATGTATATAAGGCCGAGGTCAATTTATAGATGTTGAGTGTGTTTCTATTCACTGTTCTTACCTCTTTTTATTGAGTCTTGCAACAGATGGAGGTGCAATCATGAAAGATGAAGCGGTGATTTGACCATCTGTGATATCACCAGACTCCATGCCTAGTGCGCTATAACAACCTGAAACATATCGTTTAAAATGAGAGGAGAAAATAAGATCACAACATCTCGTCTACCTAAATGAGTGTTTATAGCATGAAGGCAATAGTACTCTCTTTGTTCGTCTGTCTCATTAAGTACTTTCACTATTTTTTGTCTTTTTGTCTTTTGTCTTTTTGCCTTTCTTTCATTCTTTCTTTCTTTCCTTCTTTCTTTCTT